ACTATCAGACAAACAACAAAGTGAACTAGCGAAAGGATAAAAGATCAAAGTTTATTCTTAATTTGGAGCCATTCGACCATGAGTTTTTCCCTGACATTCGGATACGGACAATGGACAACTGACAGACGACTGTTGCACAGTGGGCAACCACGTGGACTTTAGGAGACAAAACGAAAGTACACTTTTTCCAGATTTGAATAGCAGGTCATATACTTCAACATACGCTCTATTTAATTGCTACGTTTTTTTTCTAAGCGCCGTCTTAAGTAGGAAAATCTTTATGGAAGTTTTTCTTTAAAAACAGACCTATGAACATAGAAATATTGTTTTTCGCGAAAACAAATATAATAATTTTAACAATTATACATAGTTCGAAACTAGACCTCTCACTCTATCTATTCGTAAAAAAAGTTTTTCCCGGTACGTTTTGGAACCGAGAAAATATTTATTCTTCGTCCCCTAAGTGTTTTCCGAAAACGTGTGTCCAGTAAAGTGAGATTTTAATTTTTGTCCCATTTCCAAACTAAATGAAAATTTCAGGTATCCTACTAACCCTCAGATTTTCGAGATTTTTAATCTTTTTTTCCGTTTAGAAGTAATTTTTTTACAAAAGTAACTACATATTGGGCCTCAGCGCGAAAAACTGCGTCGAATGATATGTCAGTTGTATGTTTTAATGTGCAACAAATCGTTCGATTTAATATAGTGACACATTTGTAGGATTCCTGTAGGAATTTTGGCGGAACACGTGAATATGTGTCATAAAAGTGATACGAAAGCCTCTAAATACTATTTTTATAGGTTCTTGTATGTACTCTTTCCAATGGTATGGTTTACAAGTTCAAAAATGTTTTTATCTCCGTTTTCTAAAGATTCGGTCTCTGGAAAACTCGACTAAAAGCGTTTTTGAATTTTGTGAACCACACCATAGGAAAGAGTACATACGAGAACCTATAAAAATAGTATTTAGAGGGTTTCGTATCACTTTTATGGCACATGTCCACGTGTCTAGTCAAAATTGCTCACTGTATGTTGGTCGATATTTTATGGAAGTTCACACTTTTGAAATAAAAAAACGAATTCGTTTTTGTATCTTATCATGACCCTTTCATTCCGTCGTTTCCATTCTAAAAGTGTGGACTTCGGTAAAATATCGACCAACAGTCGTCTTTCAGATGTTTATTGTCCATGTGCGAATGTCAGAGAAATGTCATGGCCAAGCCATTCTGAAAATATTGAGTCACCGATGACTCATTTTCTTTCTCCTCCAATGTTCATCGATTGCTTCGTCAGCTTGTCAAATAGAAAGTATTCAGCAACATATAGCATTTCGACAGACGTGATCCGTCGTTCATTGTGTTTTAAGGTGCAGTTTTCAGCATTGGTTTAATATAACTTTAACGCTTACTCTAACTCAGAAGCTAAGGAATCAATCAATCGATGAACATTGGAGGAGAGAAAGAAAATGAGTCATCGGTGATTCAATGAAAGTAAACTGAACACTGACGGACTTTAAGCTCGTGAATTTAAGAATATATTTGTATATTCCAGATGGCAGGCGACGATAGTGAATGGCAAAAATTACCGACCGATGAAAAGGTTCAACATAAAGTAAGTTCGACGCGATACAAAGAAGATGTGCTATTTGTTTTCCATGAACAGGAGAAACTAACTCCTCCTTCATATTTTGATTCTAGTCGTGGAAAGCTCGTTTATCTGGCTATGAAGAGTGTATTCGTTTGTTTCAAGCACAAGATAATGAAAAAAGTGCTGAATTCTCAAAATATTTGGGTTTATTAAAAAAATTTGTTGCTGACTCGAATGAAATTGCGCGAGAAAAAGCGTTGGATGCCGTTTTCAGCTATGTTGAAAATGCAAGCGTAGCTACAAAGTAGGTTTTCATTTAAACAGTGGTCCCTTTCTCATTTCTGTATCTGTCTTTTTGCTACACAGAACGGTGAGCGAAGTGTCATCGGGACTGATTTTGAAATGTTTCAATTCACGTTTGAAAACGAAAGAACGTGCCATCGATATTTTGATGATGTACATCGAAATTGAAAAACAAGATGTTGTTCAAGAAGAATTAGTCAAAGGTTTAGAAAATAAACAACCAAAAATTGTTCAATCATGTTTAGAAATATTACGACGAGCATTGACGTATGTGTTTGCTTCTCATTATGAGAAACATTACTCGTGTCACTTCTTTCCTACTTCAGTGAATTTGGCTCAAAAACATTTCCGATAAAACCATTTCTAAAATCTGTGATACCACTATTAGACGATCGTGATAAATCTGTTCGAGATGAATCGAAGCAGTTGTTGATTGAAGTATACAAATGGATCGGTAAAACGTTGATTTCGCTGATACAAAATGTAAAACCCATACAAGTAAGCTATAGGAGAAGACATTCTCGGACTAGACCTTACTATTGTATGTGGTTTTAGATGCAAGAACTGCAGACAGAATTTGATAAACTCAATCCAGCCACCGATAAGCCGCGTCAAACACGTTTTCTGCGTTCACAACAAGACTTAAAATTAAAAATGGAACAAGAGACGACAGATGGTTTGGCAACAACTACATTAGAGTCAATGAATATTGAGAATAACGATGACGGCGATGGTATCGTTTCGAAACGGTTTTCTGTGTGCGACTCTAAGCTACTGTTATTGATTTAGACGCAGCAAATGTTGACCCGTATGATTTGATGGAGCCCGTAAATATTCTAGATAAATTACCAAGAGAGTTCTATGAAAAAATTGAATCAAAACAATGGAAAGAGAGAAAAGAAGTAGCCGATGAATTGTTAACGTTGACAACAAATAATCAACGACTATTATCGGGAGATTATTTTGAATTGGTTAAAGCGTTGAAAAAAGTATGTCATATATCGTACGTACTCTTTAGTATTAACAAGTGTTTATTTCTTTTTGCTAGGTCATTGCCAAAGATAGTAATGTTATATTGGTAATTACAGCTGCTAAATGTTGTTCGGGATTAGCCAAAAGTTTACGTAAAGACTTTTACAAGCATTCATTGGGTGTGATCGAAGTATGTCTGGATCGTTTTCGTGAGAAAAAGACAAGTGTTGTTGATGCATTGCGTGAAACATGTGACATTTGTTATCCGGGTACAAATTTAGAACAAATGAGTGAAACAACGATGAGCATGTTATCTCACAAAACTCCTTGCGTTCGGCAGTATACACAACAATTTTTAACAAAATGTTTTGCGATGGCTACTACGACAACATTGCCAAAAAAAGTGTTAAAAGTATATTTACAAGCATTGATCAAAGTATGTATATCTGGCAGATATGAGAATAGGAATGAAATATTGTCTTTTTCGTTTATTGTTTAGAATATGAGTGAAGCTGACTCTGGTGTTCGCGAAACAGCAGCTGAATCGATCGGCACATTATGGAAAAATTTGAGCGAAAAAAATGTTCAACCATACTTGACGGATATGGATGAATTAAAATTGAATAAAGTACGCTGACAAAAACGAAACTTACTACAACATCTTCGTTCCATGTTTTTATTTGCTTAGATCAAAGAATATTCAGAAAAAGCGGTCTTATTGAATGCGAAAGGTGAACCACGTGGAGCAGCTGTGGTATCAGTAACGACGAAAAAAACTGATCCAGAAATTGTAAAACCCTCAGAACCACATTCCGAATCGAGTCGTTCAAAAGAGGGGGCCCAAAAAGCAGGGACAACGAAGAAAAAGCAAGTGTCGGCAACAACCGGTAAAAAAGCTGGTGGTACACAATCGGCTACCATTTCGACTAATTTGAATGAGCCATATTGTGAACAAGAATTGCCCGTAGAAGAAGCCGAAATAAAAGCACTCGATTATGTTAGCGAGGATACGTTACAAGGTTTAACCGATTCGGATTGGAAAACGCGATTGGCGTCCGTCGAAAAATTATTTGACAAAATTAAAACTTTATCGGATCAAGACGTTGAGCGAGAATGCCAGTTGTTTCTTCGTTTGATAACAAAGACGCCAGGTCTTAAGGATATTCATTTTCAAGTGCTTAAAGCACGTTTCGATATCATCATCCATTTGGCAACAAAGTCAAACAAATTTTCTCAACAATCATTAAAGTTATGTTTGCAAGATGTGCTCAATAAAGTGTCGGATGCTAAAAATTCTCAAACAGCGAAACTAACGTTGACATGTCTGTGTGAAGCATGCTCGTTCCAATATGTTTTATCGCTGATATTGCCCCAAATTAATGATATCAAAAATCCAAAGACAATCGAACAAATTCTGTTGTGGATAAGTCAAACGATCAAAGAGTTCTCGTTGGTAAATGGTCTCGATGTGAAGCTGTTGGTTCAGATATGTAAACAACAAATGCAAAACTCCAATGCAAGTGTGAGACAATCGGCAATGATATTGATATCGACATTACACTTGTACATGGGCAAAACGATTCGTACACTATTTGACGATGAAAAACAAACGATACGAACGTTGATTGATCAAGAAATTGAGAAAAATAAAGATGAGAAAGCACCGCTAGCAAGCAAATTTTATAAACGACAACAACAGGCATCCTTATCATCGGGTACAGCAAAACATCCTGTGCAAGAGAGTGTCGATGATGAGGAGATGGGAAATTATGAAATGGAAACGGATGAAAAACCAGACAGAATGGAATCTCTGTTACCACGTATCGATATTAGGTACACATGATTTTGTTTTAAATACACCTTTTCGGATTCTTACAATATAATTGTCTTTCGTTTTGCTCTAGCCACCGGATTACAGAAGATTTCATAAAACAATTGAATGATAAAAATTGGAAAGAACGTCAAGCAGCATTGGAGACATTGAAAACACTAATGACTCAAGAAAAATTAATCAAGCCGAATTTAGGCAACGACCTTATTGATGCATTGAAATTAAGATTGAATGATAACAATAAAATGCTGGTGAATTTGGCATTGAACATATGTCAGTTGTTAGCAACGGCATTGGGACAAAATGGTTGTAAAGTACATGCTAAAACATTGACGCCGGCAATCATGCAATCGTTTAATGATGCAAAAGTAAACACTCATTCTTACTGTTAGAAGAAAAAATTGTATTAATGCTAGTCTACAGCTAGTCTTTCAGCGTTGTGGATCACTGTATATGAATTACGAACGCTAGCACTCGGGAACAGATAAAAGACTCCACATAGTATTGTCTGATGTTTTATGTTTATTTTTCAATGTTTCTTATTTCTTTTCAGCCTCAAGTTCGTCAGTGTGCAATATCGACGCTGAATACTTGGTACGAACAGTGCGGGTTTCTTTCAATGTTTGATATTGAATCAGTATTAGAATTATTTCAAAAAGGCAATCCGTTTATGTTACAGGAGGTATGTATGTTGTCTGTTTAGTAAACAAGTAGCGCTTATTGGTGTTGTTTTAGTTGTGTGGTTGGCTAGCGTCTGTATTACAAAAGTCAACACCGGGAAAATGTGCTGAGCTGAAACAATTGATACAGCCTGTTTATACATGTTTAGAAGATCGATCGGCTGATGTCCGATCAAAAGCCCAAGAGCTTATTTTACCGTTGATGATTCACGTCAGTTATCCATCGATGGCACAAGCGGCGAATAAATTAAAAGTATGTTTTGCGTCTCTTTTGTCATATTGTTATTCCTTCAGTCAATCCTGAACTTCTTCCGAAATTCTAGCCAGAGCAAAAGAAAATTGTTGTCATTTTGCTGGATAAAGCGAACGAAGATTTGCCGCCTCCTGATCCCTCAAAGTCTGCATCACAAGCAGAAAAACGAACGACACGACCACAAAGCGCTCCATTAAAACCACCAACGGGTCTTAAATCATCTGAGGTAATTGGAAGTATTTATGATATTTCGTTCATCTCTAATCTTCTACTTTTTAAATAGGATTTAATGGAAGGTAATGATAACCGTCCAGCAACGGCTTCAGCTAGTGACTCCTTGGCAACGGCCGATCCAAAAAACGACAAAACGAAACCAAAGGTAATCATTATATATTCTCTTCTATATCTGCGCAGTATAATTTGGTAATAAGAAGAGGATCTTTCAACATCGCAAGTTCTGTTTTTCGTTGCTCACCTTATTTTTGTGTTCGAACTAGTCTAAACGCAAACATATAAGTTACATTACGCATACAGTTTTTGAGGATATTTGATACGATATCGTTTACTGTTGTGACACATGTATTTTTTCGCTCTTAATACATATGTGTGTGTATGCTTGTGTATTTTAGACTAGTTTTTCGCTGATCAAACCGTCACAATTGAAAACAAAGTCACTGCCATTGGCTAAATCTACTATTCAGCTAAAACCATCAACCGACACACCGGAAAAGCAGAAAATATTATCAAAAACTGATAAACGACTAGCAAAAAAATCCAAAAGTACATTATTTGAGCGTCGATCATTGTTGACCAATAACTCCACACATCGACAACAAGAAGAAAAACAATTATCGTATATCAAAAAGACATCATCCATGGATCTAAAACGTACATGTTATTTAAGTGGTGGCTCTACTTCATCATTAAGTAGTACGAATTCATCTGTACAATCGACTACAGTATCAAATAGTCATCATCCATTCGCCATGTTAAGATCATTATCAAATCGTGAACTCGATGAACAGCAACAACTTGAGCTTGTGACACAACCATCTTTATTGACTACGACGAACAAAAGTCGAATACCAATCAGAATAAGGGACTCAACGTCAGCATCAACGTATAAACCAGTTTTCTATACTCAACCAAATTAAAACTTATCTAGTTCACCTTGTTGTTTGTCTGGTAGC